ATGGAGTTATATACCTCCAGCGACACCGCAGAATATCGCAAGTGCCAAGGGCACGCCTCGTTCCAATGCACCCATCTCGGCCCTGAGGTAAAGGTTGATTCAGGTAGTATTTGTTGCTTTTCTTACACCGAGCAAATTTTGGAGATCGATGGTTGAGATTTCATTGGGCAATTGCATTTGGAGTTGAATTTATTGAGGGGATGTGCCTCTAGGAGTAGTACTTAGGTACCTACCTACCTAGGTGGTAGGTACCACCTTCAAAAGGTGGGGTGCTTATCCGGAAGAAGTTGGTAGGGGTGAAGTATCTGGCACACTAACTTGGGGTAGGTACTTGTCTGCCTCAAGAGGGTACTTTTCTGTGTGCTCCGGGTGCCTCTCCGCTACATGCACTAGAGTGAAGGTACCCACACCCAGCACGCGTCAGGATATTTCAGTAACGCGTTAAAGCAGGTGGGAGAAAACGGTTTGGATATCGATAAGGCACACCGTGAAACTGACCCCTTTGCAACACTGTTCATAGCCTCCGGCGAAACTTTTCGGTTTCTCCCAGCTAGATTCTATCCATTTATTAGCGTTCAATCATGAATCGCGCGACGACATGTTTGCCAGAGAACGTAATATCATGACAAGAGCTACAGGATGGCCAACTGGAGAGAAAGTGGCGAGGTCCCCGACTCGGAGGATGACGACTTTGATAGCCAGATCACCGACCAGCCTTCTTTGCCGCCAACTCTCCAAGGATCAGTATCATCGAAGACTCCGATTGGGGTGAAGGATATCTGGGACATTCCGTCTTCTCAGGATGATGATGGCCTGGCGAAATCGGACACTCTAACCTTCCAACACAGCAAGCAGCTGTCGGTTGACTCGTCTTTGTCGACACTGTCGCCGTCTCGCGCCCCCAGCGATTCGTATTACGCGACCCAACCTGGCCTCGATACATCGAATGACCCTCCTCCTCCTCTATCATCATCAGCTCTGTCCGAGGCGCCGGTGGTGGATTCATATCCGAACGATCTTTATCAATATGATACACTGCAGCGTGACACGCCAACTCCTCGTAGCCTAGAACGGTTATCACCCCTGCCGAGTCAGATTCTTGGCCACGATGCTGAAGAGCTCCTAGCTGCCCAGAGGCTAGTTGTTTCAAACGAAAGATCACTCCGAACACGAAAACCAGAGCAACTACGACCGTATCAGACCGAAAGAGCTCGATTTAACTCTGAATGGAGGCAGCATGGCCTCCGGCCTGTTAGAATCGCCAATGATGAAGACCGAAGGGATCAAAATGACGAAGAGTTGCTGGGGGAAGCAGAGTTCCAACCAGAAACTCAGGAATCAGCCTCCCAACATTTTGGATGAAGGGTCAGTGGATCTTGACCGGAATACTGCCTCCTCTTCACAGAGATCGTTAGATCCACCAAATGACAGGAACGAGAGCAGCCAACGCAGTATTCATGACGACACTGATAACACGACGTTGGATGGGGAGGAGTTGCCATCGTTAGAAGATTTAATGTCAGGTCGATACAAATTCGATACGAAGAGGAGCACCAAACGTCGCGCCTATCGGCCCTCAAAGAACCATAGGCGGGACAGAGAGCCTCATCTTGACCCTGTTCCTGACGGTGGAGGACCGAAGTTTATTATGCCACCAGGTTCGCCGGATCCCATGGATGTGTCTAGGATTGCTTCACGGCCAGCAATCGGTCTAGGAGGAGATGGGCTTGCATCCTCTCCTAAATCAACCACTTTGTCTCCAATGGGCCCAACATCATACAATCTTCCTTCCTCTATCTCGCAAGACTTGCAGATGGCTTATCATGATTCTGCCGAAACCGTTGACCCCTTTGAATCGTCAGAACAATCCCAACTCGAGGACGGAAATCTACTGTCAAGTGCGTCATCTGAAAGTGAGTCTGACATTGTCAACCAAAACAGTCGTAAGATCAAAGGTGTTCTCCCCGCTTCCTGGCTTCGCTTGGATCAGAAGAGCAGCCGAAACAAATTTCAGAGAAAGATTACCCGCCGACCACTAGATCCCTTGCCATTCGATGACAACAGACGTGGTGTTGCACGGCGAAAGGAAGCGTCTTCGTTCTCTAATGGTAATGATTTCCTCTTTGAGGAGTCTGAAGAAGAGCCCGTCAAAGTTCCAAACGACAAAGGGCAGGATAGGCCTATGCACATACAAACAACTCTTGAGATTGAGATACGACAACCTTGCCTATGTATGAGATCTCATCAGATGACGAGTCTATTATGGAACATGACTATATTGAGCCTCTTCTCGCTAGCCGAAAACGTCAGACGAAAACTACCGACGCATTTAACAGTCAACCAAAACGCCAAAAGGTGTCTAAACCTGCCAGTGGATTGCCCCCAAAGCCTCTAAAGCAACAGCACATTCTAAACAAAACCCGCCATTGCATGCTCGATCTTTAGGAGAAGGAGGACGAAAGCCAAATGCTCGCAGACAACAGAAAAATCCGAGGGTCGTTAAACATGCCAAATCCACTCGGAAAACCAGCCCAGTGCCTCGCCTCAGCATCCTCGATGTAATTGAGCCTAACGCCCCGAGGTTCATTAGAATCGCTGCCCGCACCGTGAAAGGACGTCGAGATCGCGGCCGAAGCAGCCCAAACGGGAAGAACATCCAGCTCGCTACGCGGAAGGATCACATCGATGCCATAAGTGCTCTTCGGGATTGGACCTCTGGGTCAATCAAGCAGCGCACCTCTGTTTCGGTAGCTCACCGAACAAAGGCCATGCCAAGAAATCATGTTCCTCTCGATGGCGCTCTTTCCCAGTTCTCCGCGCGATTGAGCAAAGGGTCTATAGCAAAGCAAAAATCTAACCAGCTAACCAAGACCAAACGCACCGCCAGCATATCATTCAGCAAGCTTCGAGACAACACAAGAAAATCTTCTAAGAACTCTGTGCAAATGCAACACTTTCCCACCAGTCTTTATCACCACACTCGATTAGCTCAGCTGGAGGTTGATGATGACTCTGAGGCAGCCGGCTTTAGGTTTTCCTGGGGAAGAAAGCGCTCGATCCCTTTATCAAGGAGATCCTAGGGGCTCAGAACCTAGCTCAGTGCTGTCCAGCGCCAAGCAAATACCTTCATTCTCACCCAATCGAAATCTAACTTCCAAGACTCAACAACCCAGTATGGCCAAGAACAAGCGATGTCGGAAACACACTAAGCCACGGCGCATAGATATTGAGGCCCCTGAATATAGTCACGCCAATGACCCTTTACCGCCCGTGCTGGACCAAACGTTACGTGTGCCGGCCGACCATCAGGCGCGCAAGGGAGCCAAACTATTTGGACTTGGACCTTACGGCACACAGTAATACCCACCACTTGAGGTGTTCCCTCTACATCCTGATGTGTTCTTCAATGACACGAGCCTTATTGGCACCGGTGCCATAGAAATAGCTGCCAGTACCGAATACCCACAGTCACTCTGGCTTCGAAAGCAGCAAGTCCCCTTCACGCTCGACGGCGAGAGGTTTCAGTGGGAGAGTGGACTTCTCAGGTTTCATCTGAGCTTGGGCTATTGTTGGATCACATTGTTGACCAGATTGAAACTCGAACGGCGTATCCAGTACACCGGATGGTAGCGACGCCATTGCCGGGTCCGCCTTCCTACTGTCATATGTAAACACTGCCCTAAGCTTCACCACAGACTCGGATTTGAATTCTTTTCTTTCTCGTATTCTAGAGGTGATCCAAAACTTCAAAGCGCGTATCATCTCAATCATGGAAAGTAAAATCTCCTTGGGAGATTCCTCGCTCCAGCCCATTGCACAGGTATTGGACTACATCCTCGTCATTCTATACCTATGTGTACGGATCAGTCGCACCGATCCATCCTTGCTGAGAGAGCAGTTCTCGGTGGAGAATCTTTTGAAGTCAAGCGCAAGTATTGCGATCCGGGTTCTCTTACAATTTGGGCCTCATCGACTTAGGCAAGCGCTCTCTGAACTAGACCATTTTCCTCGCCGAGCCTGTGGTCTCGGGTTTCATGATCTCGTGATTCACTCGTGGGTTGTCACTATGAAGGTTCTCGAAGTTGCACGAGTTCCCCCAGGCTTCATTTGGGCCATCTTTCAGCGAACAGTTTTGCCTCCTACATTCTATTGAGTCTAGACGTTAGGGAACATGAACGGATTTGGGACAGCATGTTCGTTCTCCTCCCCCTTACCGAATTCAGTAAGTGGGAAAGGTGGTTGGAGGAGAACGACATCGGAATTCTTCTGATGGCTGGGGGGTTCCCCAGCAACTACTGAAGCGAATTTTCCATCTCTACCAAGAGAACAGCATCAATCTCCAGGCTTTAATGGCTATTGTCGAGCGCTCATTGGGCGTTGTCACTATCTGGTTGAACAGTGGGGATGGCTAAATGCGCAAGCATTGTCGGTGTCATATTTGATTTCTTTGGCTCGCAAAGTCTCGCCCATCTACGTAATGAAGAGGCCTATAGCTCTCCTCGTTTTTTGGAAGAACTAGGATATCAACCTTCTCTATGCATAGAGCGAGAAGACCGTTGCTTCCACATATTTCTCAAGCTTATTGCTCTGGGTCTCCAAAAGCTGAGGGCGGCAGGGTCCCTCAAAGACATTCGCAATCTCGTCGCCCGAGTAGTGCCAAATCATAACAGGCAGTACTTGAAAGAACAGAACATTCATGAACGTGATTTGGCCGCTCTACGAAACCATCACGATCTGCTCTGTACTCTGTTCTGGGCATCGCCTCCTGAATTACGCCCAAATGTGAATCTAATCCAAGGCCTTGTTGTGCCTGCAAACTCTCACAAGGCGGCGTGTCTTATAAATTTGCGAACCTGGAGTCAACTTGCCCGCTTCGTCGTGATTTCTGGTGAAGCGACAACATCCTTGAAGCCATTCAACGCGTGGCGCAGTTCCTTCTTTCAGCAAATACTGGAACAATACGAATCAGTCGCACCTGATATTGAACACCAGCTATCAAATCTCTCGAAGGATGTAACGAAGGCAATCAGCTCGGAAATGGTCAGCGCAATGATATCATGGAACAAGACTGCTGTTGCAGATGTTTTATATACTTCTGTTTCAGTTTCACTGGAGGTAATTCAACAAGCCCCGGATCTGGAGGCGGGACTATTTTGCCTTGGCATTCGGCAACTACAGCAAGCTTTTGCCAGATTTTCTTCGACACCTCCAGGACTGGATTGGCAGATCCTCCGGGCTTCATTGTCAATACTGGAGACATTGCTCAACCAGGTCGACGAGTTCAAGGCGAACGAGCAGAGTCAAGAAAGCGAAAGCCAGATCCTGAACTCAGCACTCGCCGATGATGCCCTTCAGGTCTTGAGCCATGATATTGCAAAGCTCTTTTTCTCCATGACCCATTGCATCCTCTCAGCGAGCGATAAGACGAGGTCTTCCGACCAGAGCCAGTGCGCTGAACTCGCCGTGGTATTGGCGGCGAGACTTAGCATGAGATTGTCTGAGACCGGCTCCCTACAGTTCTTGGATTTGTTCAAACCTGGGGAAAACGGGCTTTGGAGATCTCTGCCGCACGATCTCAGCATCAACCAGCGGAGATATTTGCCTGTCTTTATCACAGCTCTCTTAAGGCATGGATTTTGCAATTGGAGAGAGGGGCATTTGATCTTGATCGAACTGTGGCTGATCTCAGTTGTCAAACCTAAAGAAGCATTTGGCTATGAGAAAGACTTTGCGGAACAGCTCATACACCATGGAGAAGTTTTCGTGCCCAACACGGTCAAAGGGTTTGTGGGCGACATCAATTACGAAATCAAGAGACAACTTTTGGAATACGTAGTATCGTCGATGCGAAAATCGATTCGCGATGCTGAACCAAGGCCAAAGAGAAGCTTGCAACTAGAACATGGAAGAGTTCTGAAGCGTATTATGCTTTTAATGAGGAGTGATCTAAAAACCCTATTACGCGATACTAATGAACATCATATGTACATGGGCTTTGTTAGAGAGGCAATTGCTCTGATTAAAACTCATGCGTCTGATTTCTGCACTGTCGATGATTTTTTCTACCAAGTCAACCAGGAATATTCCCCGCCTCAGCAAGATCCTCAACTCCAGGTCGCAACCCTGGTATCTTACGGTATCCGATTGGCTGACGGAGACATCAAAGTAGAACATCCGCTTTTCTTTTTCCTCCTTAACCAGTTGAAGTTGGCAGTAATGGGCGACGGGGTACGCGAAGAAGCTATCCTTCTTTGCAAAGGAATGCAAACAAACGGACTTCTTGGGTTCATACTTGGCAAGATGTTTCCTGCCATTATCGAGGTCTCACGATCGGAAAGTGTGGCGGCGTTGCCCATGGTCGACATATACACACACGCTTTTCAATTATTACTGGAGGAGGGTGGCGGCCAAGGGCAGCTCCTCACATCCCACTATACCGAGGAACTGGAAGTCGTTTTGAAACACATGATCCAGAGCATACATGATTTGGGACCAGCCTGGCCTTCGAGCGAAGAGCTCCATTTAGTAAGGCAATACTTGGCCTTTATGAACCTTTTGTGGCCATCTTTGTATGCCATTACTCTCTCCCCAAAGATGTCTACGACCTTGGGAATCCATGGCATTAGAGACCTCCTTGGGCGGGGTCGAGAGTGGACAGGCGTGGTGGAAGCACAACTGCGCTGTGCCCTGCAGAATGATAGAGGTGCCTGGGGTATCGATTCACTATTCCCACCCATTGAGCAACCACTGGAAGCTGGTGGATGCAATCAGTCGCAGCTGGGAATCGCGAGGCTGGCTGAGAGCATCATCACGGATGTTCGCAAGAACTGGATTACTTTGGGTGACAGGCTCACAATTCAAGCGCCTGGCCAACGGCGAACAACTCAATCAACTCAGGCGGGACACGGAATACAAAAGCCGCAGTGGGACCAGGGAGACTTGGTGGTGGATCTGTTTGAAAGACTTCAAGAATGGAATTATTGGTGGGAGAGGGCATTCGGGATGGGCCAGGCGGGTGGGGTGAACCGTGTTGAGAAGAATCAGCAGATTTTCTTTTGATAAGTGAGATTGAGCCAGCCTTGTGATTGTATCATGTTCCACGGTGGCTTTGGCGAATAGGATTTATTCCATGGGGTAATATATTGGGATTGACTATATCTAGATGGGTGTTTGGAGTTCTACCTGGCACAGAAAAGAAAAGGCAGATGCAAAGGCAGGGGATAAACTAGAGCATTAGGCTGGTGATAGAGCAGCTACCATCCAACGCAGATGAATGAGTGAGTGGGTGAGTCAAAGAATGGTACGGTGTGATATGAGTAAGATCTTATGCACGCATGCATGCACGCAGGGTCATGTATACATTCACGGTTGTGCTGCTACGCAAGCATTTCCATGTAACATAGTACGTCTGTTATGGTTCTTTAGATCCTGGTATTTATGGGGAAAGGGGAATAATCAGTATGATCTGATTTGCCCGGGAGACTGTTGCATTGTTCTGCCCTACTTCCGGCATTTCCCCCACGTGGATCCACTGAAACTGTCATGATGGCCAAAGGGACCAGAGAGGATCTGGCGAGGGGAGAGAAAGGGAGACAGGAGAGAAAGATCGGCAGTAGACTCGGTGAGGGCTCCAGGTTTGGTCGGCGGGGCCCGCCGAGATGCCATCAGCTGGCCAGAGCAGATGCAATAGTGAAGGAGGGTGTAATGCCGGCCCCTTGGCCAGATCCCTCGTCGCCCATCTCATCATCAACCAACAATGGCTGTGCAAACCCGACCTGGAGCCGGGAAATTTCGGTGTCCAGATCAGATCAGAAGAGAATGACGCCGTTATGTCGCCTACGAAGCCTGTTGCGGAAGCCTTGTGACTGCGCTGCTCGAATCCTGTCGATGTGTTGACTGGATTGGGCTGGCAATCACGCCACAAATGAGGCAGAGGCAAACGGGGATAATACCACCATCACACCACGTTCGGGCGGCCTAGGACAACAGGCATTGGTTATTTTCGTCTGATCTCGTCTTCGGCCAGCCCAGGGTCAACCTTGGTTGTCATGTAGAATGAATAAATAATTGAATTCAACTTCCTCTTCTTTTGTCGTGTCACTCACCCACTCACGATCCGCAATTGCACAAACACAGCCAGCCAGCCCGAAACAAAATCCATCAGTTCCCCAGGCCATTTTCCTGTGGAATCAATCAGAATCACTATACTTCCAATTCAGCTCTCGACCAGCTCACCACATTCCATCACCATGGCCATTGCTCATCCCATCAAGCCCATCGCCGCCACTGGCCCTCCCAGAGTCCTTACTGCCGTCGTCTTCTTGGTGTCAGGTCCGTAGTGGTCTACCCTGCCATTGGAGTAGCTCCAATGGCTCTATCGTCCCATTATTCCTGGTGAATCATTGACTAACTCACTCGGTTTTTTTTTCCAGCCTCCGCTGTTGCTGGCATGATCTCGCAACAATTGGCCACGTCAAAGCGTGTGATGGACGGCCGCTTTGCCCAGTACAACACTGTCGCGAGCGAAGAAAACCGCAAAAAGGCCTTTGATGGAGCCGTAGAGGACCCTCGAAAGAGCTTCTTCAACGTTCTTGGCTGGTAGATCCAGGCGAAACTTGGTGGTGGTTATTTATATGTTTAGTTCAGTCCGTTGAGATATCCAATTGGCGTTTGTGGTGTTTGCAGATTTAAGGCCCCAGATGCCAGCATCTTAAGGTAGTCTCTAGAGCGATAATATCAATCAAAGCATTATCTTTTTTGTCAATCCTATCCGGCATTCTTAACTTGCTCATACCATCTAGTAATAATGTAGACGTAGAGCCTATCACAAGCCTCTACCCACACAGTCAACCTTACACCGGACGAAATTCCTCCAACTATATTCCCATGACATACCAGGGATCTTGTCTCATCCCATGCGTTGCATCTACCGTTCTCAGATCCATCAACTATGGTTGGCAACCCTGCCTCGTGGGCCCTGGAGAGCCCGTATTCGCCTTTGCTTCAGACGGAAACCTCGCAGCACTCGTAGAAGATGGACCCACCGCAGGTGAGTTGCTCGCCACAATACTGAGCGTGCCCTATAAAGCATGGCGAGCCAATGATCTTCACAAGCTGCACCTGGTTTCATGCCACTGGTGCATGCTGTCATTAGAGATCAAAGCCACCAATTCACCAAGCAAGCATCAAACGTGGGCGTTTGGTCATCAGAGCCACGCCCATTGACTATCTGGGAGTGGCAAAAGAATATATTTTTGATGAAATGCTTCAGACAGAATGAGCCGACAGGCTTGCATGCCAAAGACTGCGGCCGGCGTATTGCAAGACCACGGCGTCCGTTCTCTAGCTTGTAAATGTCAGCTCGATAGCCTAATATGAGATTCCATCTATAACGGAAGCGCAAAGACGGGGTAATCGTCAATGACCGCAGACCGTATACTAACTTCAACGAGTGGGCTTAGTCTAGCATCCGCCCGATGATTTTCTTCGATTGGCTACAGAGCCTACCTATAGGTCCTCATGCCTAACTTACAAGTCCTCCATCTCTGTTACATCCGTTTTAACTTCTCGCAATAGCTTGGTATGCATGACGCAAGATTTTCAAGCAGCGACTATGGATCTTCAGAGATGGAGAAGCCCACCTGCATGCAACAGCCTTGGCCCAGCACTGTTGAGGGTGTGAGAACATATTCATTGAGCACTCGCTGAACTATCAGGCTCTTCAATGGGGGCAGATTAATAAAATTTTCATTACACAAGAGTTTGACTATAGCTACGATGGCCACCCAATCAGTTCTTCGACTACCGTAGGTAAAACAAATGCATGGGATTGGGACCAGATAATAGCCATACCATTTCCTTTGTTGCTTGCATTAAGGAAGAGAGCCCTAGTTTATAGCCATGGATAAGTCTCATGTCGTTATATCTACTTAGTTAAGATCACTGAGGGTGTAGTCTAGTATAACTAATACTACTTTAATAATAATAAATAAAACTATAGTAAACTAAATCTATAATAATCTTTAATATAATAATATATAAAATAAAGAGAATAAAGTTTAATAGTAATAGAAGCTATTAAAGCTTAATAACTTAATATAATAAATATATTAATATAATAATATTTTCTTTTATTATATAATATATTATTTATTTCTTTTTACTATATATAAAGAGGGGGAGGTATAAAGATAGATATATATTTATATATATTTATATATTTAAGAGAGATAAGTAAGCTTATATTTAACTAGCTTAGCTATTTATCTCTCTTCCTTCCTTCCTCCTCTCCTCTTTAATTATATATAAATATTCTATTAACTTAAGTAACTTTAGTAACTATCTTTATAATAACTAAAGGTTATATTTATTATTTATTTTTTTCTTACTATAAATAAGGGTTATTTAGTCCTAAGATTAAGTTATATATATAACTATTATATATAGTTTTTAAAATATAATTATAGCTTATACTTAAACCTTTAATACTATAAAAACTTAAATATTTATATATTTAGCTTAAATATAAGTATTAATATCTTATTAAAAACTTTAATAAAGGTTAATTAATATATAAATTAACTATAACCTTAAAAGAGGATACTTATTATTATTAACTATAATTACTTTCCTATATAATAATAATAATAATAATAATAATAATAATAAGATATTATTATTTAATATTTATATTTTTATTAATAAAGCTTAATTATTAAAGTAAATAATAAGCTCTTAAAAAATATATTACTTTTAATTATAAATAACCTAAGAGAGCTATACTTAATATATATAAAATCCTTAAGTTTATATTTAATTAAAAGCTTTTTATAATAATAAAGTTATTAATAATAAAATAAATTTAATAATTATATTTATTAAGTTTATCTCTATATTATAATAACTAGGTAGATAAAGTATTTAATAAAATACTTCTTAATAATATAAAAGATTTATATAATATATCTAGCTTTATTAATAATTACTTTATTATATATATTTGTTATAACTTAATATATAATTATTAATTTTAATATATTATATATTATATTAAATTAATTTAAGTAAAAATAGCTTTTATTTAAGTTTTAATTTAGTAAATTAATTTAAATTTAAGTTTATTTAGTATAATATAATAAAAAAGCTTTTAGAAAAGGTTATTATATTTAAAGTTTATAATATTTATTAAAAAGTTAAATTTATAAAATTAAATTAATTAATTATATCTATAAGTATAATATAATATTTATTATAATAAAATCTTTATTATTAATATATAGCTTAATTAATTCCTAATACTTAGTAATTTATATAATTATATATTATATAATAAATTAAAGGTTATAATAATTATAATTACTATTTTATATTAATATATATTTTAAGATTAAAAAGGTTAATTAAATAATATATTATTTAATAATTATACTTTAATTATTTAAATCCTCTTTTTTAAAAAGTTAATTTTATTAAAAATATAATTACTAAAGTTAAATAAGTTAATTAATTATTAAAGATTAAAATCTTAAAGTACTTTAATTTTTAATAACTCTATAACTTTAATTATATTTATAAGTTTATAATTATTTATATTTATAATAAAAAGCTTAAAAATTAATTAATTATATAATTACTTATTCTTAATAATAAATATTAATACCTTTAGTAATTTATACTTTAATATTTTATAAAATATATTCTTTAAAATATTTATATATTTTATTTATAATTAATTAAAGTAAATTAAATAAAATTAATAATAAGTATAAGCTTAATAAAATATTTAATTTTATAAAAACTTAAGTATATATAAGTTCTTAATTACTTTAAAGATAAAGCTTAATATATTTAATTATTAATAAAGTAATAAAAGTAATAATATATAAAATAATAAAAGTAATAATATATTATTAAATTATTTATAATAAAGTAATAAAAGTAATAATTATAAATAAATTATTAATTATAAGTAAACTTAAGTTATATAGTTTTATTAAATATATTTATAATAATATATACTTTATTTTCCTATTAAGATTAAGTTAAAGATAATAGCTTTT